CAGTCCATCACAGGACACACACACTCACACACCCTGGACTGGACGCCAGTCTATCACAGGACACACACACACACACACACACACACACACCCTGGAAAGGACACCAGTCCATCACAGGACACACACTCACACACCCTGGACTGGACGCCAGTCTATCACAGGACACACACACACACACACACTGTGTCCTGTTTCAAAGGAAATGCATCCTGTGTTTTCCCAGCTCTGGAAATCATGGAGCCCAAAAGAGAGTCAGAGAGACTCTCTAAAGCCTTCTAGAAGAGAGTCAGAGAGTTCACTGTTTCTGGAATAAACAGTAAACTCTCTGCTTACACCTGGCCCTTTACCACGGCTTATGATGTGCAATACAACTTGTTGTGCGCTGTTCTAGTTTGTTCTTTGTATATTCTGGACCGTGAGCGCCTATTTTTAGTGCACTTCTCACTGACGGGGATTGCGTTGTTGTCTGATTGTATCACTTCGTTGCGCCGTCGCAGTTTCCCCTCAAGGGATCAGTGATCAGCATTTATCGAGAAGAGCGAAATGTTAGCGGTTGGCTTTCAGTTGTTTTTGTGTGCGTGTTACAGGAAACCGTTTAAGGCTGCGCGGCGACGCCCTGCTTAAGTGTCAACTCGTCAAAAAGTCAAGAAGAGGCAATTTTGGTGTCCTGCGTTTTGCCGCCCCCTTTTCTTTTTAAATTCGTTTAGCGAAAACGTCTTTATTTTTATTGTTTTGTATTCCCCTCACGTTGACGTTACGTGGAGGGCTTTGCGTCGACGACCGGCACCGGCGTCTCGGGTCAAGGCAGCGCGGTTTCCCGCTGTAAACACAATCCAATGTTGTTGTTTTTTTTTGGGTTGGGATGCCTCAGGGGGGGTTGAATACTTTTTTTTGTAGGCCCCGTATAAAGTACAATTCGGAGGATTTTCTTTACAAAAAAAAAAAGAAAAGAAAAAGGCGGGTCTGGATATCAGAAACCCGAGATCTAAATCGATAGATACAGAAGCTGCGCGTATGTGAAATAATAATAATAATAATAATA